AAGTAAACAATGTGACACATTGTGAGCTATCTGCAAGGTTACTTACTTCAGTTTCCAAGTACAGATGGTCCCTGACTTCCCATGGTATGACTTGACCATGGTGCCGAAGTCATATGCATTCAGTAGAAACTGTACTTCAAATTCAGATCCCTTCCTGGGCTAGCCGTATGCAGTACGATACTCTCTCATGATGCTGGGCAGCAGCAAGATGATTTTGCCCAACTGTAGACTAATATAAGTGTCTGAGCATGTTTAAGGTAAGGTAGGCTAAGCTATTAAAAGCATTTTTACTTGATATTTTCAATTTATGATGGATTTATCAGGACATAACAGTAACCTCATCTTAAGTCAAGGAGCATTTATATGATATTTCGGATAGTAAATTTTATGGCTTATTATAAGAAGTATAAAGTATATTTTCTGGCAAATAATTGAAAATGTCATATTAAAATCCACTAATCCCAAATGTAAGATGTGACAAATTTGATCATCTGAAATCATACCTTCTTTAATTCTCTTTTCCGGGCTTCTTTTCCTTGAGAAAGAGAAAGAGAAAGAGAGAATACAGACCTTTCAAATCGTGACCATTATTATAGCATTTTCTCAACACACATAATTCATATTGTGGGTGGCTGTCCTGTACACTGTGGATTCTTTAGCAGCATCACTGGCTTCTACCTACTGGATGCTACTAGCACCCTTCTAATTTTGCCAACTAAAAATGTCAACATTATTTTTGTTTTCTTAAGAATTAGGAGCACAAAGAAAAAAGATGCCACGAAATATTAAAGAACCTGCAAAACTAATTTGTTCAGAATTCTGAATACAAAAAGAAAGCTTTAAGCCAGGGGTTCTCAACCTGTAGGTCGCAACCCCTTTGGGGGTCGAACGACCCTTTCACAGGGGTCACCTAAATACATCCTGCATATCAGATATTTACATTACAAATCATAACAGTAGCAAAATTACAGTTATGAAGTAGCAACGAAAATAATTTTATGGTTGGGGGTCACCGCAACATGAGGAACCGTATTAAAGGGTCGCGGCATTAGGAAGGCTGAGAACCACTGCTTTAAGCTAATTTTACTGTGCAATTCAATCAAATTAGAAATAGGGGTGTGAATTTTTTTTGTATGTTTGAAGTGTTAATCATGTGCCCACAAGAACACTGGATAACTTCACACAACTGACTCCTAGCAGTGCTGATCTTGTAATAAGGACATCATGAAACAGATTCCCTAACGCTTACAATTTCTACCGCTTCTCTTCTTCAACAGCCCCATTAACGGATACTTACGGGCTTGGTCTGTGGGGTTCATAAACTTTCCACTCTTGGTGGATGATGTGGATCTTCGTCCCATGCTGACAATCTGTATGGTTCACTTGTATATTAAAAAAAACACACCAAAGCTACCAGGATCAACATAAGAATGTCCAAACCTGTAGAAAAGTTGTACAAGAGCATATTAGAGCTTATCTGAGCCAAACTGATGGCAGCGAGATCTCAACATTGCTCTGGGTAATGACAGTTTTTTTTTTCTTCTCATAACAGTTTTTTAAAAAAATGTTGTTTTATTGCTTAAAGTATTACAAAGAGTATTACATATGTCTCCTTTCCCCCCCCCATGCAATGACAGTTTTGCAGTCCCTTTTATACCTTTGGAATTAAGGAGGGAATGTGAGCACCAGGACATTGAGGGGGGAGAAAGCAAAGGAGGTTGGGGGGGGGGGGGCGAGGAAAATACCTATGATTGGGTTTCAGGACAGTTAATAGGATAATGGGGCCCCTCGAAGGTCCTTAAGCTTCCGAGGGGCCTGAAAAAGCATTTTAAAAGTGTGTTAAATACACATACACACACACACACAATGGCCAGGGCTCGCTTAGCAAAACCATAAACCCTTTACGGGGAACGCTACAGGCCAGAGGTAGAGTTTTTAGTAGGCCTTACAATGACACCTTTCCTTCTTTATAAAGATGTTATCAGGTATGACCAGTCAGTGCCTTTTTCAGCAAGTGTTCAATTGCCCCGACTTCTGCCAAAGGTTGCAAAGCGCCCCGGCGGCACCGACTTTACCCGGGGAAGGGTTCCTCCTCCGACCCGGGGCCGCGGAAGCCAGCAGAGCGGGGACCAGCACCCGCTCTCCCACCTCGGACGGCCGACCTGCGTGGCTTCCCTCCCGCAAGCCTCCCCGGGCTCCGGCGGAACCAGAGGCTATTCACAGTCATTTTTACAGAAGGCAGCGGAGCTTCGGGCTGCGCACACGACTGTTTCGTCTTAAAGCACAGGCGACGGGGAAACCGGGCCACAAAGCCACGAGGGACCGCTAACCAGGCAGAGCGGCTCCCGGGGAAGGAGCCCGCTCCCGCCAGCCGTCACCGCGGCGGCAACTGCCGCAACCATAGCGACGGTTGACCCCGACTCGAGGTGCAGACACCAAGCCCAAGGCCACCTACCGATCACCGTGGACAGACCCGAGGCGGCGCTAACCCACCCGGGCGAAGTCCGCCGCTTCACCGCCGGTCGCTGCTCCGCCCCAGGCTCGGGGATCCCGCCAGTCCGTGACCCGGGAGACCCCAGCCGCGGAGAGGAAGAGCGGGGCCAAGGGGCCTACCGTCCCCGCGGCCACCGCGCGGGCCCCCGGAAGGGACGGGCGAGATGAAGAACCCGATGGGGACAATCCCGCACACTCACGCTTCTGCTGGGCTCTGGGACTGGGAGAAGCCGGGAGGGGAGGATTCTCGGCCTCTTTCCCTTCGTAGGGGCCTTCACCGCGGCTCCCGGTCAGCTATCCAGCAACCGCCATCTTGAAACCTCGCGCCCCGCCACCGTCCCTACGTCACTTCCTCTCCCCGTGGGCCCGAGATCTCAGCGTTTCTCGGCCCTGGAAATGTAGCGCGTAACTAAGGACTCCACGGCTGGAGTCGCTTCCGCTCCAAGACAGAACCCAATTGGTTGGTTATCTGCTAAGAGGCCGCCCTAAGGTTACGCAGTACAAAGACGCCAAGTTGATCGACACTTCTGTACGCCAATAGGAATAAGAAAACGAGCCAGCTCGGATATGATTGGCTGGTGTAAAGACGGCCCTGTCTCTTGGGCCCGAGGTATTCTAACCTAATTCCGGTTGCTTAATTGATTGCTTTAGACCGGCGGATTCCACACTGAGAAGTGTGTTGTGGTGTTTCTGCGTCCCGGAGTTGTATTGGTTCTGGGACTCTCTTTTTTTTTCTTTTCATGACGTAAGCTAGTGTGATCTTTTAGGAGTATCTGTGTGGAAACGAATCCCCGAAAATATATATATATATACATTTGCTACTGTGTTTTGCCAACGTCATGTCCGTCTGGAAGTTCATTAGTTGTTTGTAGACATGAGCGAATGAATCAGTGCCCTTATCGGAGTCCCAGATTGCTGGTCTACAGGATTACTTTTTGGAAGGGAAGTGTGGGGATACATGTACTGTCAGTTTTAAATTTACAACACCGGCCCCCAATCCTGTGTGATGTCACTACACGTAGGCGGTTATTCCCTTAGTTGTAGTGTTCGAAGGTTCTTTCTTTCTCTTCCATCCGCTCTTTCTCTAAGACTCCTCCTCTGTCATTTCCTCTTAAAGGTAATTTTAAATACTTAAAAAAAATTCTCCCCTTAAAGAATACACTTGTTTATTTCGGATCTTAATCTGAATATTCCTTATAGGAAAATGTTAGATAGAGGTCAATTCCGACAATCCGTTATCAATATTCTAAAATACTGGTGGAGATGTTAATGTTTAGTAGAATATTTAAATGTGCGCTTAGCTGTTTAAGATTGGTCCTTTATCTGAACTAACCTTCGTTTTAGGAAATTCTTGATTTTGTTTTTGACTTGAGTCTCAGAAAGAACAGTAAAACGATCTTATAGTTTATAGCTTATAAACCAGGTAATAAACAACAAAAATATTTAATATTGAAGGTGAACTAAATTGTGATATTTTGGAACTAATATTAAAAATCAATGATAGAAGAGAAAATGAATATTTTTGAAAAATTAATATATTTCATCTAGCTTTTACTTTTTGAGATACCCTGAGGCTTTTAAATTTTCAAGACATTTCTTGAATTTGGATGCAAGAATCAACTATAACAAACACATTCTTGCATCAACAGCTTATTAATAATTTTGTAAGTATAATCTAAGAGTCTCAATGGGAAATTATTAGTTGGTGCAGGATTTAGAAAACATTTCCATCTGCAGAAATTTAACTGAACCATTAGGCCTCCATAGCCTCTGGATATCTCTGAAATTAATGTAATTAATTAAATGGGCTACCCAAAGCTTTACATAGCAAGGGCAACTTCCTCCATTCTGCTAGCATTGAAAGTGAAATATTTTTTTTTCTGAAAACTCAAAAGATCAATTAGGATTTTCCTTTGAATGACAAATTCTTTTTCTTTTAAAATACGTTTTTATTGATTTCAGAGAGGAAGGGAGAGGGAGAGAGAGAGAAAAAGCTCAATGATGAGAAATAATAATTGATGGGCTGCCTCCTGCACGCCTCCTATTGGGGATTGAGCCTGCAACCTGGGCATGTGCCCTTGATGGGATCAAACCTGGGACCTGTCAGTCTGCAAGCCGACACTCTATCCACTGAGCCAAACCAGCCAGGGCTGAATGACAGGTTCTTGAAAGAATTGCTACTTCCTCTCCTGCACTCTGAATGCATTATATGCAGGTGTATCTTGGATTTGCTTTTTTAAAAAAAGTTCCAGAGTGTTCAAACATTTCACTTGAGGGATATTTAATTATCATAGAACAGTTGATCAGGGTTGATTATACTTATAGAAACAAAACCTTCATTTTTTTTTAGTTTTAAATTTTTATCCATTAAAAGTCCATTCAGATTATAGTGTTTAATTAAGAAGTTTACAGAACTATGACTCTTTTCATCATAGAAGTAAGAAGTTACAAACCTTATTCCAGTTTTTTCCAGTTTACAGAAAATTGGATTTAAACTGATGGTTGAAATTATGGTAGTGTTTTCTATTACATTCAAAGGCCCAGGATTTGTGTCCAGGCAGAAATTACAAAGTATGTCCTCTTAGAACTAAATGATGTCTGAAGTGTTAGGAATAAAAATCGTTGCATTCAATGTACATTTTAAAGATTTTTACTTGATATTAGAAAGGAAAAGGCAACCCCTACACCTGCTACTCTACATTAGCATGTACCCTAATATTGAGCTGGTAGAGGAGAGTTAGAAGAATCCTGGGATTCTCTCCCACGGTTTAGCACCAACTGGTCCAGACATTTGTTACTGATGCAAAACTCAAGGAATCTTCCCAATCTGTTACGGTATTTATGTCTATGTTGGAAGCTTATGGAAAATGAAGCTAATCCAAGAAACCAAACACTATTATTGAAAGAGAAGCAGAAAATATTCCAGTGGCGAATAAGGTGGCTGTTTATTTCATTTGGTGTTTCACTGTATTGGTGACCTCAGTAATGGCATGATGATATTTTTCTGAGGCTGACTTGAATTCCACCAGATGCTTCTCATAACTTTTGATGGCTGCTTGTAGCTGCGTTTTCTCTACTGCTCCTAGGATGGCACGGAAGACCATATCTATGCCAAGGCCAAGAACAGCAACTCCTATGCTACCAAGGAGAGAAGCACCAATTTGAGCTAACACAGTGACCAACTTGTTAATTATGCCAGTTGTGACATTTGAGCCCACGAGTTTAACAGCCACTGCACTGGCTGCAGAAGTGGCTTCTCCCAGGATGACTGAAATAACCTTTTGTACGATTGCAATTTTTTCTGTTTCCCTTTCCTTAATATCCTGAAGTTTTCTATAAAGGGTTGGCTCTAGTTTATCTTTTAGTGCTTCATCAACCTTTTGCAATTCCTTTTGGATTTTCATCACGGCTTGGATAATGGTATCACAGTTTTCTTTGATGGTCCCATTTCTGTTCATCTCAATGGAGGCCAGCCTGCACCCCAAATGCATATTTAAAACTTCAATCAGCTCATTGGTGGCACGGAAGCTGTCCGATAAGCAGTCAAGGAGCTGTTGGTGAAGATGGTGTACTTCTTCCCGCCTCCTTGGGTTCTCTGGGTAGAGGAGGTCACTCTCAGCCATATTTCAAATATGATCTCTGAAAAATAAAATGGTGAATTTTTCACTAAAAATCTTTAAAAAATATCTGCTGTTTGCATAGATTTGACCAAGAAATCTTTTATTTCATGAAAAGCAAAGTAGCAATATGCTATGTAAGGAATTCCTCAGGAAACTCAACAGGTTCTTCAAAACAATTTTTATGAAACTTGAAGTCAGTGTAGGGAAACGCAGGTAACAGAATACAACCTATGGATGCATTCAGGAATTACATTTTGTGGTGAGGGGAAGTCCTAGATAGGAAATATTTATGTTTATGAGGCATCTGATTATTAATAAATAAATGTGATTATTTTCAAGTAATATTTAATAACATATTTGAAACACTGCAGTTTGAAATGGTTAGTTCTTGATAACCAGAGCTAATGGTTAGCTCCTTTATTTCTCCATCCTCTAGTCGCCACACTGAATAGACCTATTGGGTTGATTTCCACAGTATTGGGAGTTAAATTAATAGGGCCAGAAGAATATTAAGATCTCTGAGTTTACAGGGCTATTAATATATAATTTTGTTTATATACTCTGTTATCTTAATGTACAATATTCAAATCACTTTATATAACTTTACAGGCAATTTCTCTAAACCTAAGGGACATTGAAAGGCAAATATAATAGACCTTTACAAAAAATCCATGTGATGAGAGTATAGATTCAAGATTCCTTTCATTACAATCTCACTTGAGGATTAAAGACATGGTGCAGGGGACAGCAGTTATGACTATTTCTCTGATTCTCTATTTTCAAAGCTTATAAAATAAATTATTTAGAATCTATATTGTGGTTGACCATTATTAAGATAAGTTAGAGTTACTGAAAGAAGGTAATGCCATTTCATGGAAGTATTAAGGAATAAGTAGGAAAGCACACCATAGAATGAATAGAATAAGTCTGGTAGGAGCCTTCTTATGTTTGCACTTCTGGCTCAGAGTACCATGAAGAGAAAAAAGGAATAAGGATGTTCTTATGAGTTATTTGTCTAAAAGCTTGAGCCTAGTGAAGACCATTACTCAATGTGCATACCTTGAGTAGGATTGCTATGTCATTTTTGTTTTTCACTTAAACTCTTGGAAGAAAAGAAAGAGAAAATGGAGTTCTGTATATCTGTGTGGTATCTGGCACATTCTCTCTTTGAGTAGATAGTATCTTGGGCCCTCCTTTAGGACCATGGTTTTTAGGCTAGATAGGGCAACCTGAGAAGTATGGGATGAAGGACGTGAGGTATTTTTCTCTCAAGAAAAGAAACATGAAGTCATAAAAATATAATTTGGAAATGGAGAGGGGAAGATATTTAAAAAATGGATAAGGAACACAATTACCTATGCTGTTAAATTTAGAAAAATGCACTGATACCCCTGGTGGCATAAACTTAATCATGGTCAAAAATTCATTTTTATCTTTGATTCAGATCCAGTAAAACACACACACACATGACACAAACTTCTCCAAGACAGTGCCTAGAAAATATCCATTTAAAGAAATTGTTTACTGAGGGTCTATTAAATAGTCCCCAAATTCACCATCTGGTTGTAAACAGAAATTGTAACTATAAATTTGAACTTTGATTTCTCTTTTTTCTTCTAGGAATTTTCCATTAAACGTTTTTTTGGGGGGTGTCTTAGTTTTCAGATCTTATCATGAAATGAAAACTGTACTTTCTGACTTTGAATTCAGAAGATCACCAACTACATCCCTATTCAGATATTTAGTTGAGAGGAGTTTTTCTTACCTTGAAAAAGTAGAAATATATCTAACAACTACCATATGCCACTATCTGAAGCCCTAACTTCCAGAAAAGGTGTGTGGTTCTACTTGCCCCAAGGTAAACAAATGGAGAAACGAATTTTCCTCTGGGATGGGAGGTCAAATGCTTCCAAGTGATCAATTTCTTCTTAACAAATTAATTATTTTAGCACACTCTTAACAAATTAATCATAAAATATATCCAAAAGACTGAATAGGTGAGACTAATCTTTTCAGGAAAAATAATGATGGGACTTTTTCCTTCTCAAATATTAAAACACTCAAAATACAATTAACCAGTATTGTACAGGTGAAAGAGTAGATGGAATTGTGGAACAAAATAGTCCTCAAAGCAGACCCTTCTATACATTTGATGTAATATATGATAAATTTAGTATCTTAGATTGGTGGTAATTGAGATCATTATTTCATAAATTATTCTGACATAATGGGGTAGTTTTAGGGGTTAAAGGTGATGTAAAAATGTTATTAGCATAATATATGTTAAAAAATCAACTAATAAAATAGGAGAAAATGGATAATTTTCAAATGTCAATATAGAAGACTTTATAAACTTAAAAACATTGAAAAAAGACAAAAATTTGATTAACAAAGATAACCATGTAAAAGCAACTAAAAGCAAACTGAAAATACAATAAAAATTAAATATTAATTTTTAAAGAATGTTATTAATAAAGTAATAATCTGATACCTAAATTAGCAAACAACTGAACAGACAGTAAATCCTATAGTAGCTAACTGATGAGGAACATCCAATCTTACCAGAAACCAAAGACACAATATTTTTTCAACTGCAAAAGTAATATTTTATTTACATACTGACTCCCTTGCACGTGCACTTTTATACCCAGATGATCCAGGCACCATTTCATAATTTTGTGCCAATAACAAGTTTGAGTAAGAGACATCAAGAAGTGCTGAGAATTATTTCTCAGATCTAATAGAAAAGGACTTTTATTTTTCTAAGTCTGGCTTACCTTCCTAGCTCTTTTCTTCTTGGGGAAAGGCTTTGGGAGGGTTCCTTATCTTCAGCTCGCCTGCTCCTATACCTGCTCCAGTATTGACCACACAAGATTAGTTCTGTCCCAACAGTGAAATAAATGCTAGAGAATTAGATGGAGGAGAGGTGGGGTTTGAAGGTGAAACTAATGAATTATTTCTTAGGTGAAATTTGAAGAGCCCGATGAAGGGAGCAATTCAATAATTCAGTAACAATTTATCTAATTGAGTAGCACTTTACTATGTATAAGGTGGGATGCTAGGCTCTGTTGAGCACACAAAAATGAAAAAGACATGGTTCTTGCTTTATGGAAATTCTAGTTAACACATTGCGGACGGATCACGAGAATTCTCGTTCATGTTACGCAGTGTTTTACGAAGTATCATACTTTAAAAAGATATTAGCTTGTAAGAACGTAATAACTTCAAAATGCAATTGGTATTTAATTTTAAAGCATGCCTTTAACATTTATGTAAAACGTTTTTTTTCTGTACTCGTTCAATAGAAACTTATCTGGACACTGGGTAAAGCTAGCAGTAAAACTACTAATCTGCAATGTGTTAAGATGGTAAAATTACCTGTCATCTTGAAAGTAATATGCCATTCAAAATTGTAGGTAGAGGTGGTGCTTGACTTGTGCAAATTCAAAATGTTAAACAAGTCACTCTTTAGTATGCATTGATACTGAGTCAATATGGAGACATTCAGTCATCCAAAGATGATTAACAATTTGCACCCTCTCAGTTTGTTACTGATAAATATATGCTTGTTATTTAGAGGTCAGGTTATATACCACATGGAAAACCACCATTGGTAATGTACAGCGTCTCCACTATTGACCATGACAATTTAGCTCTGATGTTCAAATTGCTTGCTTCACTCAGCAAAACAAAAGTCCTTCAATTAATTGGAGTCACACTTCTTAGAGATCCTAGGTATTAGGCATGGCTAAGTGATGTCTTATTAAGAATATATAGTACTGTACCTAAAAGTAGTTCTGAACCATATATTTTCCTCTATCTTATTAATTTTTCATGGATCACCTTTTAAATATGACCTTTTAAAATTCGCTCTTTAAAAAATTATTTTAAAGTAATTTAAAAAGGACTTTTAAAGATTGGTACTAGCAGGTTGCTAAGTGGTCTGCTGATTACCTGCACCTTTTGTATGGTAAATTTAAATTTTTACATTATTTGTTATCGCATGATAGGGCTCCCTATCACTGAAAAATTCACTCTGGACTGTTACTATCTACTTTGCACAGCAGAATTTGTGCTGTTTTATCTGTACTTGATTATAGTGGCTCTTGAAATAGATACTAGCCCAGACAGTCTGATGGGGAATTACTAGCCAGTAGGGGGAGCGCTTGGTGTCTGGCTGCCCATTTCACCCCAGCCTATGCTGAAGCAACTGTGCTTTTTTGTGTTGCAGTGTTTGTGTTGTGGGTGGGCAAAATTGTATTTGATGAATGCTCTGTTGCTAAAACAGAATTTGGAAATCACATGTATTTTAATTTGTTATTTTGTAAAAAAAAAGAAATACATTTGGGAACGCCAGTGATTAGCATTTGGAGTGGAAACAAAGACTAGCTTCATTCAGATGGATTCTTACTGAATCCATGCCAATTTTATTGACTTGAGAAGTAAACATTCAAAAGCATATAAGAAGTGGTAGAAATATTTCGATGATTGTATCTAAAAGTTAGAGTTTATTTAGTGATATTATGCAATTGTTTTAGCTTTTACAGGAAAGGAACTACCTTACAAAATGAAAATCTATTGATTATCACATATTCAAATAAAAATTCCTGAGGATACTTTTGTGAATAAGAGTAGTACACTGACTGTCAAATAGTATAGAAATTTAAAGAGAGAAATTAATATTGATGTGATTCGTGACATAAAAGGACATTTAACAATTCATGTGAACACACAGTGACACAGGTGTCATTTCATCCTTCATCCTTTCTAAAATGGATTTCTTCACCGCTTTGTCTTCTCTGACAATCAGTTATATAAGCTATAAATTTTATTCTTTCTCTAGCATTTTCAGAGAAATAAATAATCACAAGGAACATGCCATGATATCCTCTGAAAACAAAGTTGTTTTGTTACTTTATTATATTGATGGCTAGGATTTAGGACTGACATGTTATTTCAAATTGCCTATAATATTGAGGAACAATATTAGAAACACCCAGATTGCTTACCTTGCC